CATAAACCCACGCCTTCCCTCTTTGCCCAGGCAATTTGGAAACATCTGAGGTCTGCTGCTCTTTTCAAGCTGCATCGTCCTCCAGAGCACGTTCTCCATCGGCCCCAAGGACACTGTCATCCCTTCGCTCCAGAAGCTACACTCCTCCTCGCTTTGCCTAAGCTCCTATTCTGTTTCTCCCGTCTGTCTCAGTCTTGTTCCTGACCTCTTCACAATCCTGGCGTTCTGACAATACCTGGGATGGCAATGCACTTGCCCACCTATCAAGTTGCACAGAAAGAGCCTGCCCTCCCTTTACCACACAAGATCCTAGATGCTCCACCCTCCCAAGTGTACCTTCAATAAGGCCTTACTTACCTGGCTCGGGGAAAAAAATTCTATCCTACATTTATGGTAGTTAAATAAATTCATATAGGCTCTAACTTTCCAGTAAATATCAAAACTCAAAATGTGCCCTCTCAGTGACCCAACAATTCTACTCTCTGTAGTCACCATGTTCACGAGTGAAGGGAGCTCAGGAGCGCTGTGTGCATAATTCCAGGGACACAATTTGCACTACCCTCTTTGTGAATGTGGTCCCTGGAGTTATGACCCCGAATGCTCTGGATGAAGGCCTAGAGGTGGGGGGTGGTCAAGGCCCCACATTGACTTGTCCCTGAATACCCCTTTCATCATTTTGAAATTTTATATCTTGTTCTTACACTACTGTGTAAATCCCTGCATTATGAGCAAGTTCCATCCTTAAGCCTGCCTTTCAATTGAATGTATGTGTAAATTGGAATACTTTAGTAAAGTTCTTATCTAGCATCAGCTGGACAAATGTTTGCATTAGCATGTAGTATCTAATGTGTCTTCCTCTAATGAAAAACATATTAATGAAACACCTTCAGATCCTCTAAAAAGATCTTGAACATAACAATACAGTCATAATAGCAGTAATAATAATAGACTTTTGATATGTGTTGCAAAGCAATATCTATTTGTTATGATCTTAACTTTTTAATATAATAGTTTTTTATAAGTGTGATTCATAACTTCAGTTTGTATGCAGGCTGGGCATTCATGATATAGGACTACCTCTCTTCATAAAAGATAAGTGATATGAAAATAAACTGCTATCCCCGTGTGCAGAGGAAAATAGTTTCATTCAAGGAGGCTACTCTTAGTGTTATGCACAATGCCTAGTAGTCCTCTAGGAATGAAAGAACCCAATTTCAAGTTCATTCCTGCAGTTCACCCTCAATCCTATCTCTTCCTCTCTCTCTACAGACACACCATCCCATATCATCCCTATTCAGAATTTTAGGGCCATCTTGCTTTCTCTTCCCACCCCTCCACGTAACCAAATCATCTCTTCAAAAAGAAATTCAAAGTCAATTCACAGTATGATTGAATGGACTGAGGATTACTTCAAGTGGATCCCTCTTGGGATTATTGGACTGTATCTAGAAGTTTGTATTTAATCAAATTAAGTTCTAAGACATGAATTTGAAATCCCGGACTCTGAGAAGAAAAGTATTTGATAAGAACTTCTGGTGCAGCAAAAAATTGCCTTACACAGAGCTGAAGAGCGTTATCATCACGCCTCTCAGGAGCGTGTGCGTGTGCGGACAAATATGTACACGTTGTATGCATCTATATCTGTCTCCTTTTCTATTTAGCTTTGTGTATTGAATCTGTTGTGTTCCATGCAGAGTTGTTTAAACTATATGGTGTACAACCCACTTTTGAGCCTCATTGAATCACATTAATTCTAATCCTTAACCAGTTCTTTCATTTCTCTTTCCTCAAAAGGCTATTCACACAGCTGGTCCTGCTGCTCGGCCTTGGGGGAAGGGGTTCCGCATCTAAAGCCATGGTGTATTTCCTACCGATTAGGCTCTCCGAGTGGGCAGCTGTCTGTAGCAATGGCGTGGAAATCACGCCCGCTTCAGCAGTGGGAAGGAAAATGGGCTGGGAAAGGAAGCAGCAGAGTTGGTTAAGAAAGCACCATTCTAATGTAAAATTTTTAAACACAGAATGGTAGTGCTGCGAAGAAGGGAATCCAGCCCCAGGCTTTCATTTTCCGAACAGAACACGGCGCTGTTTCAGTCTGCGGGAGCCCCACGTGGCCTGCCTGAGCCCAGCCTCAGGGACGCAGGGGACTGCCATGCGGGTTTCCATCTGCCTTTGTCTCTGTGGAAGCCCCTTAGGGTTAGCTCCAAGTCCGCTTCCCGAGTCACAGGGAAGGCAAGAATATCCTGACCTCCGCTCTCTGATATGGAAAGGCCTGCTCTGGTTGAGGGTTTTTTCCCCTTCCTCTCAAATT